GCAAAGCTTGCAGCTTGGATCGAACCCGGCACCCCGGCATTACTAAGCTCTTTCGCAACGCCTAGCAGATGGGTCATCACAGTCTGGTGAGACTGATGCAGCGGGGAGTGACGAGGGGTCCTGGCAGATGTTTTACGTCCGTTTAATGAATGCTTCTGCCACCATTATTATCGGAACTCTTCACTGGCTGCTGAAGATGGGGACGGAGCGCTTCTATGAATGATCCGAGTGCTGTGATGTCGGTTCTTGAATCAACTCAACTCAACTCAACACACCCCCTAAGCCCCAGAAGCCGACTAATCACTATTGGCTTGGTGGATTTGCCTCAGTTCCACAGGCATCATACTAAAAGAGAAGTTAGTTATAATGAAGTTCAAAATAAAAACATTAAGATACATTCCAAAAGCTACCAACTGCCATATTCAAATTCTCACCTGGTCAAGCCCAGCGAAGTCAAACTTGTAGGCGTAACGTTTTCCGTGGACTTTGGTCATAATGTTCTTGTCGTAGTAATATCTCAAGGCCCGGCTCAGTTTGTCGTAGTTCATGTTTGGTTTCGATTTACGCTCGCCCCATCTCCGAGCCACCTCATCGGGGTCCACCAGCTTGAACTCGCCATTGGTGCCCTCCCACGTGATACAGCCCGCGTTGGCCGAATCGGAGAGCAGCTCCAGCAGGAACTGCCACAGTTGGATTTGGCCGGAACCTGACAAAAAGTCAAACAATTCTTAAATAAAGAGAAGTTGCATATCCTTGTTTTCACAGAACCCCGCAAATCAACCCCAGCCTTTATTGATTTAACTACACACTTTAAGTAGTTCGCCATTAACACTAAACAGTTGACCTTTTTACCAAAAAGACATAAATGCAAAGTATCCTGCTACCTAAAGGCCAGGAAGTGAATTGAACCAAGTAATTCAGAATTATGAAACTGCGTTCATAGCCATAAAGCCAGCGTCATTAAAAGTGTTCAATGTACACTATTCGTCAATTTCTAGCTAATTTGGTAGAAAAATAATAGACTGTATAGACTTTGATGTAGAGTGAAATCATCAATTATTCTGGCACTCACTCATTAGTTTGAGAGAACCATAACACTGTCATCATCATCATCATCATCATCATCATCATCATTATCATCCATGAAGTGCCGATTGGTCTACAGTAAATCGGAAGGACAGAAAATATAATAAAAGTTTGGTTTTTTAATAGATGCGACACGCTACTGTGTTAAATAAATAGAGAGCAAAACAATCACGCCATGGTGCAATGAAATACACGCACGTCATTTATCCACGAATGAAGTGTCTGCAGAACTAAGTCTTTGGGTTGAACAGTTAATCGGTTAGTTAGTTAATCGTCAGATTATCCTCACTGCACATCGGCCAAGTCGATAAGCGCTCGGATCCCATCTGCAATATATCCTTCAGCGTGTGGAAACTGATAATGGTTTACCATTCTTCTTTGACTACATGTGTCGTGTTAATTGTTGGCGACACCTCTTTTGACCTGAACTTCTTGAAGTATTTTAAGTGTTGCCGACCCACCGTCGTCTCCTGAATCACCTTTTCGTCCTGCCTTCTTGAGAGCACTGGGAATGTGGGCTCGGTTCATTGCTTTCCCTGTACCTACCGTGGCCCTGCCAGCAAGCCAATCCGCTCGTTCATTACCTCTTACCTCAAAGCGCCCTGCCCAAAAAATAAAACTATTTCCTTTCAAATGAGATTTCCTGAGCGTCTACAACCATTTTCTTCCAATCCATCCTGCCTTTATCTTCTTAAGCATGCTCATGGAATCACTAGAAAGCTCGCATGGAAAATTGCTGTCTCTAGCGACATCATTGCTTTTGTCACCGCCATCACCTCCATAGTCAGACTACTTATAGCCGAGGCAAAAGCCCTTCTATTTTCTTTTACAGATTTTTTTTTCGAACCAAAAGCGAGAAAGCCCATGGGTTGAACAGGTACAAGGGTCGAATATATCATAATGGTCTGAAGAGAATGATGCAGCTAGGTGTGATCAGGGGATATAGTCGACATTAAACACTCAGGGGGAATTTCAAGAGGGATATATGCTCAGGCTGTTATTGGTACCATCGCAGTAGGAACCATGTACTGACCGCTACAGCACAGGAATGAGCGCTTAAGTGTTTGCCCTGAATGCTATGAATATGGTTCTGCTCTGTACAAGTTGTCAAAATTGAGGATATGGTTATAGAGAATACTTTCAAAGACGCGAAAGACAGCATAAACTAGAAACATGATCTGGTGTGGTTGATGTAGGTTTAGACAACGGATCAACATCATGGCACACAGGTGTTAACCCATAAGTGCTCCGTCTTACTTCTGACTTAAGCCTGTATCTATAGAATCTCAGCGCAGTGCACGAACTCCATAGCACCAGCGAGGATCCGGAACGACTGAATTTTTTTTTCTTGAGAAAACCACCCTATCTTCCAGGCTTACCTAACCTTAAATAGTTACTAAGTAATGTCCTAGAAAACCAAGGCACGATGTTAACCTCATTACCCACCGAGTGCCGACTGACGTAACATTACAGATCTAGCAAAACACACACATACACAAAAGAGCCTGGTAAAGGGACTTTTATAAGTACTAGTCAATATATGGGAATTGGTTTTATCATACTTTAAAAAAAGTGACAGCTGCAAGAAAAGTCCAATGTGGGATTTAAGAGACAATTATTAGTGTAAATATGCACATGTAGGTCAATTCAGATTCTGTGCAAGTTATAAACAATAGGACAACAAATAATACGAGTATATGTGATATTACTTCTTCTGTTTCATCATCGTCATATCATCATCGTCATCATCATCTTCTTCTTCGTCTTCTTCTTCGGCTTCTTCTTCTTCGTCTTCTTTTTCTTCATCTTCTTCTTCTTCTTCTTCTTCTTCTTCTTCTTCTTCTTCTTCTTCTTCTTCTTCTTCTTCTTCTTCTTCTTCTTCTTCTTCTTCTTCTTCTTCTTCTTCTTCTTCTTCTTCTTCTTCTTCTTCTTCTTCTTCTTCTTCTTCTTCTTCTTCTTCTTCTTCTTCTTCTTCTTCTTCTTCTTCTTCTTCTTCTTCTTCTTCTTCTTCTTCTTCTTCTTCTTCTTCTTCTTCTTCTTCTTCTTCTTCTTCTTCTTCTTCTTCTTCTTCTTCTTCTTAATCCTCTTTTTCTTCCTAATTTCTTTCATTTCATTGAAGGGCCGAATGTAAGACGGGCCTGCGTGCCCCATTTGTGACCCTTGGAAAATAGAGTTCGTTCTTTGTTTGTTTATTCTTTATTTCTTTCTTTACTTATTTATTTTCTCTGTTTCTGTCTTTCTATTTTTCTTTATTTTTTCATTTATTTACTTATTTCTTTTCTTTAATTTTTTTCTTCGTTTATTATTCATTTTCTGTATTATTTTAGCTCCCAGCGGAAGATGGAGTTTTAGCCAACTCACATAAAGTTATTTAGACATGTTCATCATTAACTGGGACGTTTTATAGCTAGTTTTTATAGGAATGGTGGAGACATTCTCCCACGCATCCTTCTTGATAAACTCTTTCAACAGAAACTTCGCTTACAGTGTAATATTTTTTTTTTCATATCTCACAGATGTGTTGGTCTGAAAGGCTCAGATATCGCAGCCTAGCTTTAAACCACAATACAAAGTGCAAGCTAGCCCTTGACTGGCTAATGCAGAAAGAGAAGAATGATGCATATCCTTGGGCATTGAGACTTTCAAATAACAAGCAGCAGTAAATAACGCAACAACACGTGTACACGTAAGGGTTACCTGACGTGGATAATCTGCTGGATATTGGTCCAAGTAACTGATACAAATCTGTCAGGAAAGACATGAATCAAATATTGATTAGATTGTTGAACAAATCTACGTTACTCAACCCCACCAGGACCGTTCAACGAGCTACCAACACCTGGTGATACAAAGTGAGACCATTCAGATGAGGACCACCCAGGCACGAGTCCCAGACAACCCGTTCAACCCATAGGTTGGGTTATATTAGGAGCCCCGGCAACAGCGTCATACAGTGGGATGGTGGTTAAGTTAAACAAAAGCTTGTCTTGCAGTTTATATTAACCCTTCCATAGCCATAAATCAGGTGTGTGTTCCAGGCTCTGTTCAGAGGAAGAATTGTATGAGAATGTATTTGAGTCTGTGCACATTCACTGTACACCGTAGAATAATGTTTTTACTGTCTATACATATTTACTGTCGACAGTGCAAGAATATACAGTTACTACAGACAATGCAAGAATATTTTCATTGTCTATACACTTTTCGGTAGAAAGTACAACAATGTTTATTGTCTATAGACATCTACTGTAGACAGTGCAAGAATTTACAATTGACAGTGTTACATAGTCTTCTATGAACAGTCACGTTTCAGGGAAGATATTCTGTAGTTAAAAGACACTACCATGTGTCTATGGTCGAAACAGCCAGAAGAGCAAGAAGCAGAGACTTATATCTCTCTCGACACTAGTGGGGGTAAAAGGGGAAGTAAAGAAAAATAATACACATTTACGTTAGACGGAACACGACTGTATTATAGTCTATACGGGTATAAAAGAGAAAAACAAAACAGCAATACTTAAACCAGTCAGATAATATGTCTACGAAGAAAGCTGAAAATGTATGATAAAGTCCGGTCTCAATTTCAAGATAAATGAATGACAGTTTATATTTAGGACTGCAATGCATGACACACATTCACGACATTGTGTATACACTATCCTATACACTATACAGTTCCTATGTGATATCACACTTCGCTTGCGCACCATTCAAAATATAACAGAAACAATACTGAGTTAGTTTTAGCTAAACGACAACAACTTTAGCCAAGATGTTAATGGACGATGATAATAGGCGGGCAATCCACTTGTCTATTTCTTTGTCTCCAGCCTTTGACAAGGGAAACAAGCCGAGCTCATCGCACTACCACTCATCAAATCTGCTCAGACTTTGAGTGCTCCCTTTAACCTTTTCATGCTTGGTTGATATTTTTGAGCGAAATTGTCAACCAAGTTAGCGCTTCCATTATCTGTCCGCGCTGTGTTTGCAGTAAGGGTCGACTCCTCCGGCTAGCCGTCTTATCGCCGCTTGACCTCCTCTAATCTACTTATATCGTTGACTGGACATTCGTTGATACTTTAACAGTAGCAAGTCTTTTTGGGGAGGGAAAGTAAGAAGAGGTCAATGGCAGAGAGTGTCTTTTTGGAGCAGTCATTGAATCGTTGAAAGTTTAATCAAAGATATTTCACACTACGAAGGGCTGGAGAGGGTCATTAACAGTCAGTTATGACGGTGAAGCAATGAATCGAAGTGTTTCGGTGCTTTTTTTTTTTTTTTAATACAATAATGTTCATCACATACGTCGACCAAATTTGCAAATCAGCTAACATTAGCGAAGAGGACAACATCGGAGAATTACTAAATTAATTGCTATTCGCCGATGACCAGACAATCATAGCACCATCAGCAGCACAACTACAAGAACATAGTAATAGACTCTGCTCAAAATGCTATGATATGAAGATCAACGTAGACAAACCAGAAGTGATGACAATCTCCAGAAAAGGAAGAACCACCAATATAAAAATTGATGAATGTCGATTAAAGCAGGCGAAGGATTTTACATATCTGGGAAGCATTTTTTCAGAAGACGGAAGAATTAATAAAGAAATCCATCAAAGAAGCCAATCAAGTTTTAGGCCAAACTGCACCATTTTTTAAATCAAGCATGTGAATATGAACACTAAGAGAACACTGTTTACCACAATATTCTTACCGACGTTCTGCAATCAACCTTAAACACAGACACTGCCTTCAGAAGGAAAGTAGTCACGACAGAAATGATATGTTTACCTACCATAGTAGGTTAACAAGAAAAAATTGACTTAGGAATGATGAAATCAGGGGAAGAATGGGCGCAGAATTAATACTGAATTTTAGATGTTGACAATAAATCAAATGGTTTGGCCATGTAACAAGATTGGCAGTAGACAGGGCACCACAGAGAGCAATGCTATACATATACGGTGGTAATAGACCCAGAGGTCTACCACGCAGATATGGACCGCAGAAATAGAGACACTGAAAAGTACTATATATGAAGCGAACAGAAGGGCCCGTTCTAGAGATCTTTTCCTTCCCTGACGCCGCAAGGCATTCCAGGAGTAAAGAAAAGAAAATAATAATAATAAGAAGAAGAAAGCAGGATGTTTGTGAGTGAGTGTATGTGTGTGTGTGTGTGTGTGTGTGTGTGTGTGTGTAAGGGTGAGGGGCCTGTGTGTGTACTTACACTCAGTACTGCTCCCATCAACCGTGCATAGTCTATGACATATGTTTCTGACTTCTACTTCTTACGTTCGTTCACTGGCTGTAAACTGTCAATAAAATTTGAGTTCTTCGTCGAGTTCTATACTTAAATCTTGGTGTGGAACTTGCGATTTGAGTGCACATCGGTTTTACAAACTATTCTTGTGCTTGCTGTTCGTTCTTTGCCTCACGCAGATGCTCTCCGATTTCGAAGTAACCCCAATTAGTCGACTTTTACGACATGCTTGTTAAGAGGCAGTGGGTCTTTTTCTCCCTAACCAGTATATTTCTTGCTAACTGTTGTTTAAAATATGTGCATCCTCTGCATTTGTCTCAATGAAGAATTTTATTGTTGCTATTTTTTTCAGCATTTCAAACCTTCAAAGTTTATTTCTATAGATATCACTCGTCTTCACTCATCTATGTGATTGATTTTCTCTTTCATGTTCGTTAATTCCAATGCTTGTAAATCTCCTGCATATCATATCTCCACCCTATTCTAAGACTATCTCATGGTCTACTCCCATCCAATGTTTTTGTTGATGCATTTCAACGCTTGCCTCTCTGTCATCTCCCATTCTCTCGGTATACCCCAACAATTGCAGTTTATTAGCCCTCATGATGCAATAATTATCGATGAATTAAACAGATTATGAAATTCCTTTTTGCGTCTCACACTCTATACTCCACTGTTTGCATCTTTGATGGATCCAAAAATTCATCATAAGACTGTTCTCAAAGATTGTAATTAGGCTTCATCACTTTTAGTTGTACCCCAAGTACCAACGCTAACTAAACCAACAAATGGTCCTTCTTCTTCTTCTTCACTTCCTCTTTTACCGCTTTGGGTGTCGAGGGAGATATAAGGTTCTGTTTCTGGCTCTCCTGGCTGCCTCGACAATAGGCACATCGTGCTGTTGTAGAGTTTCTCTGATGTTACCCTTCCATATTGTTCTTGGTCTACCCCGTGCTCTACGTCCTTCTTCTCTTTCCATGTATGCTTTGTATGGTATGGTGTCACAAGGCATTCTCTCTAAGTGGGCAAACCATTTCACTTGCTGTCTTTGTATGTAATCCAGACTTGGTTCTGTGCCGACTTGTTCTCTTATGATCTCATTCCTGATCTTATCTCTTATGGTCACTCCTACAGCCCTTCTCAGACATCTCATTTCCCTGATTACTAATTTTCTTTTATGGTTTGTTGTTAGTGACCATGTCTGGCACTGGTAGCACAGAGTTGGAATAAATATGCTTTGAATAAGATGTCTCTTTGTGCTGATTGGGATTGTCTTATGCTGTAAGAGGGGTGATAGCTGTCCCAATACTTGGTTTGCTTTACTGCATCTAATGTCAATTTCTTTATCCAATTTCCCATCTTCGGTTAATGTAGTTCCCAGATATTTAAACTCAGATGCATGTTTAATGCCTTTGTATTCTATTGCTATGTTTAGATCTATCTTCTTTTTTCCTATTGACATTACTTCTGTCTTTTCAGTGTTGATTCTCATATTATTTGTTTTACATTCTTCATTCATGGATGTTAGATGTTGTTGCTATTTCATGGCTGTATCTGCTATCAAGGCCTGGTCATCTACAAAGAGTAATTCGTTGATCTTACTAAGATCTTCATTCCGATCTTCATGGTCCTATCAGTGTTATATATTGTGATCTCCGTGTTAGGAGATATAGCATTCCCCCCCCCCCCCCCTTTTCTGCCCAGAAAATAAATATTTCCATATTGCCAAAGTAATTTTTGAAAAAAAGTCAACCGAACCCAATTTTCCGATTAACAGGTGAGTATCTAGCATCTATATCACTTCGGCTCCACAGTGTACCATCACACAAAAATCATAGTTCACAGAGGATTGAAATCGTACCCATCTACCTCAACGCTAGAGTGCTGTGCCCTCTAATTTCATGTATCAATCAATGATGAATAATAACAATAACCAAGCCGGCTCACCGCCACCAAGAAAAACATCAATAACTACCATTAGGGTATCGAATATGTTATGAAAGCTGATCCCTGTTAAAGAAATGAAGCAGAAAGTTAAACGACATTTTCCCGGGCACATTCCACGGGAAAATTTCAATACAACAACAAAGAATAAGTTGAATGGCCGGTGTGTAAAGGATCATGACGGTAACGGAATTTGAAATTTAAAATTATTGAGAAGACAAACAGAAAAATCCCAGGACCATCATCATCATCAAGCGCGGTGTGATAAGAGTGTTCCCTATCACATACCGGCATGAATCCATGAGCAGGTATCTGATCCTGCCACGGCCATCTTTAGAAGGAGAAAGCCGTGGATCCTGCTACCTGTGGCCAAGCCAATGTCTACATTTCATCAGGGCTTCCGAAGTTTGTACTTTTGTACAAATTTAGTACTATTTGATTCTTGCCGCGTAAAACTGTACTTTTGGTACCACGCCTCAAGCTTTGCTGTTCCAGAAATTTTGCCTCAACATTTTAAATGTTGACATTGTAGGCTAAA